TTAACTAATCAGTGCTCCGTCTTGATCACTTGGTATGACAGTCTGTTTTCTTCTTCAGAGGCAGACCAGCTTCCATCCCATTACCTCAACGCATCAACGCAGCTGCAGGCAGTTATTGATAAGTCATTAACACATATTTCTCTCACAAAGTTGACAGGCTGTTGTGGTTTGTTGTCTTTGTAAATGTTAGTATCACGTAACCGTGAAAACCTTCATATTCTCATCAGATAGAAGTGATCTTTGAGCAGATGCAAGTGCAAAGTTATGGCCACATCTGTTAATTATAAATGTTGAAGAGAAATGATCTGATGTTCAGCCTCAAACACACGTTTGCTTTAGTTTTGATGTCCCATCTGAGAGGGCTTCTTCCTCTAAGCAATAATTCAAAGATGTGTGTCTGTGAAGAGTTATGAATGCGCTCCATCCTTTCACCTAAACATGGTCACTTCTGGCTCCACAGAAAACAGCGTGGCGGCAGCTAAAACGCAGGGGTGACGCTGCGGTGGCTACGTGTGATGTCACTCGCCCTCTTTCAGATGCATCAGGGGGATCTGCCTCGCCTGGGAGCAGAAAGACGTTGCTTCTCCCAAATCGCTCGCTGCTTCATTATGAATAAACGTTTTCTCATTTGCATTTTAGGTATGGAAACTATTTGATACCCAGGATAAGAAAGGTGTTCACACAGTAGGTAAAACGAAACGTTCATGTGGAGCGTGAACCTCTCAGAGATAGTTTTCTCTGTAATCCTTCTTTTGTCTACTCTGTCCAGAGGTGAGGGGAGCAGATAAAATGCACAGGGCCGTGCCGGCTGCATCATATACAATGACACGATTCACTCGCATCACGCAATGTCAGTTCTGCCGTTTGAACCCATCCACCTCAGCATCCACCTCCAAGGGATAGTCACTCTTCACTGCCCATTTTTCTATTAGCAGGTCAGAGAATAGATGCTAAACTCTGCCTGCATTCAGCTGCTCACTGACTGAACAGCTCTGAAGACCAAGACAGAAGATGATCCTAGAGGCTCGAGCGCTGCACTCCAAAACACTCGGGAGGGAGAAAACTTCTCCACAAAGTGCGTGCATGGAGTTTTCTGGTTCAGATATCTTCAAACAACAAACAAACAAACAACAAACAAACAAACAGATGGTGTCTCCTAAATTTCCTTTTTTTAATTCAATATGTATCTGGGAAAACATGACATAATTCTCACCTGCTACGTTTTTCTGATCACACCAGGAGTAAAAACGCATGCAAACATTGCTTAATAATTGTTCATGTCATTCATATATTTATTTAATTGAGGTGCATGAATGACCACCGTACAGAAGAGGCTCCTGACCTCAGTGAGTCACCTCTATCTGCTGACTTACCCGGCAGTGGGCTCCACCACCAGATCAGGCATCCCCGCGGACGAGCCCTGGCTCACCACTGGAGCTTCGTGGTCCAGGATGAACACTTCATCCTGACAGATTTCTGTCACGAAATGCAGATGCTCCTAAAACAAAACCCCCAAACCCCCAGAGAACCAGGAAAGAAAGAAGGAACGTGAGGAAGAAAATGCACCTGGAAACAAGCTTTGTGAATTCTGAAGCAGCAGGAGAGTCAAAAATACCTGAGCCTTGTCGATGCGATAGAAGCGGTCGGCTGACGTGGCTGCAGAGAAGGAACACGCAGTTACGCGACATAAAACGTCTGTAAAGCTGCATTCATCAAAATCCCTGCGGGGTTTTATGATACCCAAATAATCTTTTATGATTTTAGAAAAAGCTTCAACGACTTTCATTTTTATCGAGTTATAAATTTAGTCTATAACTCAAGTCCAAGACAATAATAATAAACCTTTTTTGTGCTACTTGTGGCTTTTGAAACTTGAAACTTTTGACGCCCCCCTGTGGGAATTCTTTGCAAGTTAGCAAACATTACACATTCAGCCTGGGATCAACTAATACTAGACTTGTAGTCAAGACCGCCTAAACCAAGACCAAGATAATACCAAGACAGACCAGGTGGAGACCAAGACAAAGTTGAGACGGAGACTAAAAAGTCTTTAAACTGCAGCCAGATGCTGCTTCGTTTACGGGTGTCAGGCATATTTATGTGTTTTTGCGATGCACTCACACAGCCCTCCTCCCCGCTGTCTACTGTCTCACTCACTTACTGAGAGGACAGACACACGCTCCACTTCACTGTCACGTCTCTCACCCTCTCTGTTTTCACATAATGATGTTATGCTACATCCTTGCATGTGATTGGCCGCATTATGGAGGGATTGGAGCATAGCTGAGCCACTGTATGAGAGCTGAGCAGCGAAAGGAAATTAAGCGAGGAGCCGGCTCTCGCTCAATGGGAGTCGACTCTTCTGATTCACTACAAAAGCACTCTCTAAGCACGGCTCTTAGAGCTCATAATCTTAATTGTTGTATCACCTGCTGTGGCGCCCCCTTGTGTCAAGTGAGCCAATACAAGCAGCTTTTGAAGGAATTTGTGACCTTTGTTCTTAAAAAGCACAAAATAAATAAACTTTACCCTACTTTCAGGACTGGAGTCTGAATACATTACTGTGTTTGACACTTTACTAAAGGATGTGATGGATAACTGACTAGTTTGGTGACTAGTTGAAGGCTTTAAGAAGCTATGTGTACGGTTTACAGACATAAATAATTCTGTAACAGCATCTTAGTAGAAATTTAACTCTCAAGGAGGGAAGAACAAGTAAGGTTTTAAAATGCTTTGAGTCAAAGTCTGCAAGCTGGTGACCCTATACATGCAGTTTTTGTGTTTTGGGGACCACTAAAATTAAACTTAATTTAATTAACTGCCACAACAGGTGCATGAAGATGTTACCGAGATCCTTCTAGAAGGACTCTGATCCAGTTTAAGGTGTTTCAGTCACTCACAATCCAAGAAGCTCCAGTTGGGAGACAGTCTGCTGGTTGAACTGGTCCGGGGGACACCTCTGCTTTCATCCTGGAGGCAAAGAGACAAATGTTGTGATCGTCGCCATTTTTTATTGAACAATGAACTGAATGTAACAGGGTTCAATCAGGAGATTAATCAGAGTAAGGACGAAGCAAAAGACAGAACACGTGAGAAAGACAAAAGTGCTGTTTACGAGTGTTTTGTAGCGTGGCAGAGATGAGCAAGACAATAAGACAGCATGTAGTGCATATCTATGAGTTGTTTTTAGGGATTTTACCACTCTAAGGGTTACTCTAAGGATTTTAGAGTGGGTGCCAGCCTGTAACAGATAAAGTTAGTTTATATTATTTAGCCAAATGCTTATGAGCTGCCAGCCACCTAAAAATGTTAAACTCTTAGATGACTGTCCAAATGTTTCAGTGTTTCTCAACCCTCACAGAAAGACACCCCAAAGTCATATACCTGGTAGTGCACTCTGTGGCCAGTAGATGGTGCCTGGTGTAAATCCTAGCAAGCACACAGCAGACAGGTTTCAAGGTTAACAAAGAGCCAGAAGCATTTACACAAAAAACACCAACAGCTTCTACACATTTTACATCCAGTCACATGAGACAGACAGCTAAAGAGCACCTCTGCATTCCCGGCAGTGCCGGTCATTCATCCATCTATAAATAACTGAGAAAGGAGCGGCGACGCTGCTGCGTGGATCATGAAATAATGATGAAGAGGAGGAAACAGGAGAAAAGGAGAACAAGGGAGGCAATTAAAGTGATGATGATGATGGTGGTAAAGCTAGAGACTTGCCTCTTGTAATCTGTCAATATAAAGTCTGCAGGTCTCCAGGTCACAGTCCCCCCTCACCACCACTATGCCAACAGGGATGGCTGAGAAAAAACAAAACAAAACACAGACAGATGTTAGAGCTTTAGGGTAATTACAGTAAAGATTTATCAACAAATGGTATCCACAGCTGATCACCTACACTAAGAAAATTATTTTTCTGCACTAGAAACCTTCAGAAATATGTTTAAATATGAAAACGTGGTGCCAGGCTGCAGAAACGTAAATGTTGGACACAGTCCAAAATACTAGTTTTATTTGTCTGTCACATGAGTGAAAGGTTTGTTACTTTATAAACCAATAAAACATTTTTTTTTTGTCATGTGTTTTTTGTCACGTGTCATAGTACAAAACCAGCCTGTATGGAAAGTTTCCTCCTTCATAACCAAAACTCATCCATTTGCTCGTTGTAAAGCTTAAAGTTATGTTTCGTGTATCCTGTTGCTGCCTTTTGGAATTTATTTTTAATGGTTTATTTGACAAACAGTGTGACTTACAGTACTTACGCTAATTTAGTCTTAAGATGTAATTCAGCTTTAGTGGAATTCTTAGCAATAACAAACAGGTTAGCAGGTATCTGCTAGCTATATGTGTGTCATGAAGTTGGTTTGGCTAAAAACAAATGAGCTACAAAATTCTGCAGCTGGTGACCCACAATTTATACAAAAAGTCAGATTAAAGCTGATTTCTTTTTTAATTTAAGAGACACAGAGAGCCTTACATATGTCTCGTAGCCGCTCCTTGTCATACTGCAGCCTGTCGTACTCCTGGAGGCTGATCCGGTTCACTCGAAGACGCAGACGATCTGGAACTGCGTGAGGACTGGAAAAAGCACACACACACACGTGCATGTACATGCACACACGCACAGATCAGACATGCCCGAGCAGACAATGAGAAAGGCATACAGATGCATACATGCACGCACAGACACATCTGGACACAACGCAAAACAGATCTGAGCTTTTATTTAAATCTAAATATAACTGAGTGTCTGCACACCTGAATGAGTGGCAGCTCGATCAGAGGAGAAAACTACGTAAAAACAAACAAACAACTGAGCTGAACTCCTGCACTTCATTATTGACGATGTTTTGGTCCGTCTGACTTTCAGTGAAAGTGATCTCATGCTGAGATGCTGCCCACGTACCTGACGAAGGCTGGACAGACCAAAACACTGGAATCGAATAAATATTTCAGCAGTAAGCAGCACAGTGGAGTTCAGCTCAGCTGCTTTTACCTGATATTTAATTCCTCCTCTGTCTTCTTTCGTTCGTGTGAAAACAGATCTATGAGCTCTGACATTATAAAAGACATCTGCACAGGTGTTTGAAAATCATACGTCCACAGAGCCTCAAAAGCTCTAACTCAATAATCTTACCTGCAAAGGGACAGAAAGCGTTTGAAATTACAACAGTTACATGACTCTTGTTACTCAGAGCACAACATTAAGACACTTTACAGGGTCTGGACATCAAGCGAGAGGCTCGGTTCAGGTAAAGGTAAAGGGACTACAGCGAGGGAAACATTAAGACAAAAGACAGAAGCACACTGAGGAGTGGACAGGCTTTTATCTGCATGCTGCCACGCGCTCTTTCTCTCTCTGCCGCTCTCTTCCAGCCTGTGTAACACAAACACCAACAGCCAGCACGACACAGCAGGGTTTGACCAATACAGCTATTTGAGCATTTCAAATCTGGGGTTCTCAAAATGGGGTTCATGGACCCTCACAGCCAACACGTCCAACAGGAAAAATCTGGGCTTATAAAATAAGGACATTACGACTCCTGTCTGTTACGTCTAACTCTCACAGGTTGCTGTCTTTCTGATTAGCCACCGCTGCTAACGAGCACAGAGGAACATTAGTCAGGGTGTCCTTGGATAACCGTCTCCTCTCTATGAGGTGCCTGCACCTAAAAACCCAAAAAGCGCCACTTTAAATGAGTTGGGAATCCTAATGCAGAGCCTCTTTCAATGTTGGGACTTTGTCCTGATTTGCCCTTCCTCGCATTAAACATGCAGCAGGAGACAGCCCACGTCAGACTCTTCCTCGCTCCTGGAAATACTCTGCTTGGTTCAGGTGAGGGTACTGCCTGAGTTCAGCATGCAGGAGGCTCACTCGTGGTGAATGTACCGGTCATTACCCGTGAGTTTGTACTAAAGTGTTTGCAGGTTAAAGAGCGTGTCATGTTTGAAAGGCCTGGTTGGACATTTAGGTTTCTTCATCAGTGCGATTGCTATTAAGGCTTTTTTTAAACACAACTTTCAAGGAAATATCACTTTCTCTTGTATCATGATTAGGGTGAGGACTTAAGATTGGGTGGGGCCCGTGGGATTTTCTCATTTTAAAATGGGTCGCAGCTTTTCTGCTTCATCCTTTTGTTCAGTAGCCAAAGCTTTGACTGAGCACCACCTCCAATACTACAAATAAAAACTGTTATATGAACAAATAAAATCAAATATTTTATAATTTGCTATCATTAAAATCATCATAACTGACCACAAAAAGCTGGGAAGATGCCAACTGCTGATTTTGTCATGTCAAATATTGGTCAAAGCCTGATGGATCAATAAAGACACAACGCTGTCAACACATTTACTCACACGGACACAAACATCCATCCATCCGGTCACAGAGGGCTCAGGTACTTACACAGAGAAGGAGTCGGGGGGAGCAGAGAGGCGGCGCAGATCAGCTGCACACACCTTCTGAATACTACGGCCGTACACACGCGCACACACACACACACACAGAAGAGAGGAGGAACGTGTGTGTGGGGAGATGAGGGGTGGAAAAAGAGAAAATGACGAGGAGGGGAAAGGAAATGAAAAAAAGAGGAGGGGAAGGAGACAAGGTAAAGAAAAGAAAAGAAATAATTAAAGATCACACCGGCGTGTGTGTTGGAGGAATGAAGAAGTGAATATGAAGGAAGACAAAAGAAGAAGAAGAAGAAGAAGAAGAAGAAGAACAGGAGGAACAGACGGAGAAAAGCCCAGAGGTAAGTGGACAAACATTGATAGCACAGTAGCAGTACAGACAGTCGATAAGTTCTGCTACAGAAAGTCATCACCCTCTATTCTTCCTGCTCTCACATGCACACAGTTACTGTAGCTGACACGGTTTAAAATACACACAGATAAAGACAGAGATATACATGAAGAGATATTAGTGCTACGGGGATGGAGGAGGGTTAGTAGTCTCGTGATTCTCTTTGTGCAGGAGGAAATCACAAGGCAGCACTGCCACTCCTGAAACAGATCAATAAGCATCTCCTGTTCACAGGAAACTGCCAGTGTCACGTGTCAGCGTGTCACCCATGCTCTTGTTTGGATTAATTTGATTACACGTCCCTCCTTTGACTTGGTCTGGCGTGCTGTACGGAGATGTGGGAGACTGACGAGTGAATGTCAGCTCCTGCTAAACAGACTGTGTGACTCATTCAGATTTTTTACAACGCTGCTGGCCTAGATCCTCCATCTGTACGAGCGCGCACGTGTGTGTGTGACTCACTCGTTGAGCAGGGGCACAGAGGTGCGTCTCTTGCTCTTCTGGACCATGTTGGCCTGATTTCGAAGAGAGATGCGGAGAGTGGATGGAGCCAGTCGGCATGGCTCGCCGTCCACCTGAACAGAAAGACACGCTGAGGTCATGTTTTAAAAGTCAAACCGATGACTTCATAGTATTTGCTTCTTTTGGGCTTACATCAGCAGCATATAAATCCGAAAATCAGCCAAGAAGCTACTTGCACTCACAAACAGTTTAAAAGACGGACGTCTTAAACCTGCATTCTTTCTAAGGACCAGCAGAGGGTGACTCTTGTTTGGAAAGAGACCTCCACTTCTATAAAATGAAAACGGCCCTCAACTCACTTGCTCTGTGACCTCAGTAAACACTTCTCTGATGACTTTATATGAGCTCAACCTTCTTTTTCTTTTTTTAAATGGTCATTATTGGGGTCATTTTACCCAAAACAGATTGTTTGAAGGTTTGGTTGGGCTCTTGGAGATGTTTTGAGCCGTCTTCAATTTAGTAATAGCTTGTGTAATGTTTATTTGACCTGGCCTGATAAAAAGAAATGTCAGGTTAAATAAATCTCACAAACCGCAGCACAGTATAGCGGACTCTACTAGAGCGGCATTGCACGATTCAGCTCAAAATAATCCTTCTTTATCTCACACTGAGCCCCTGCTCATCACAAACAGAGGGTTTTAACAGCTCTCATCTCTGTCTCCTATCTGAGCTTTTGATCAGAGTCACTGCAGAAAAGAGGCCGCACACAAACATCTGGCTCACTTTTGTCTGTTTGTCATTAAATATCACAAATAAAATTAAATATATAGCCAATTTTAATACACTCGCACTTCTCACTGCATTTACTGCAGCTGAATGACTTCATCATTTCTGCATGACTGTTACTTTAAACAATGCAGTACTCTACACTACCCCGAGAGGTTCTCATGTACCCATCTGAGAAAAACTGTTTAAGCCTTTTCTTGTTTCTCAACGTTGTTGCTTCTCTGTTTATATTACAGCCAGCACTATAGTTACGTTTTAAATATAATTAATAGATATGAATAAATAATAATGAAATAAAGAATGAATAATGAAATATTGTCCCCTGCAGAGTTACTCAGAGCTAAACGAAGAATTGAATCAAATATTTAAGAGAGAAAAATTAAAAATCAGTCAGTCATCTCAAAGGTTTGTCAAACTGTGAGGTGCATCACCAGAAACATACGGAATTTAAAAAGGTTGATCTTCATGCTGGGAAACAGGACTGACTGTGCTGAAATTAATTTCACCTGAAGTCAATCGTTTTTAATTGTTACTGATCAATTAAACATGTGAGATGGGGAAGTGGGAACTTTATCCAGGTTTTTGTACCAGAGGAAGTCTTAGAAGCACGGACCTAAAGTTTGCTGTCACGTACCAATTCAATTTCAAAGTTTTTATTAATTAATGTTTTTAATACAAGCTAAACTAGGTATATTAAATTTAATTGTTTATCTATTACTTAATTAGTTTAATGCAGCATAAACAGTTTTGGTGGTGAAGAGTCTTTATCAAAAGGAAAAGCTGTAAAACTTCTTCACATTTTCCAAAGCTGTCCAGTGGGCCAGATTGGAGTATTTGCTGGGTCGATTCTGGCCCCCGGGCCTTATGTTAGACACTCCTAAATAAAACTGTACATTTACTACAACAGTTTGTGTTTATTCTGAGGAATTCTACGTGTTTGTTGTTTTCTTATACTCTGATTATTCTCTAGCTGCTCTTGCTTTGAATCCTGCAGGTATGAGGTTGTTATATTACACTCTGTCACTCTAATATTACCTGAACAGGTACAGTCTTGTAGGTAGTGAGGATGACCTCTCTGCACTGGTGAAGTCTCTCTCCGTGACCTCCAACCTGCAGCGCTGCCTAGTGGACAACAGAGACGTTTTCAGATGTGCTTTTCTCTTCGTTGCGCTGCTTCTTTTTTGAAATTCTTACCAGCGAGGCCATGGTGAAGCCGATAACCTCGATGCAGCCGTCGTCATGCCGCTGAGGTTCAAAGTCTCGATGGTCTCCCGTGTTTCCCCATGGCATGGTGCCGGCACAGTATCTGCACACATGTTAACACAAACATGCAACAACAGAGTCTCAAAAACACCTTAAATGTCATTTGGGCTCCCCCTGTGGCGTCCTGTTGATGACACGCTCACTGCTGATGTTTTTTAGCAAAGGTTAAACTCAAATATCAAATCAAGTGCTTTTCTGACTGATTCATCTTTCTCCAGTGACGGCGCAGACTTTCCTCTGACCGAACAGGTATGAAATTTGTTTTTATTGACTGAGGAGTATTTTAACTCCAGGCTGCGTGGGAGGACTGAAGTCAACAGCTTCAGCGAGCATAAAACCTGAATTACACCTCCTGCCTCTACCTTCAGCCCACTTCAAGAATTTAATTAGTCAGGTAGTCACAAGAGAGTTGTGGTGTCTCACAGTTTTCTAGATGCTATTTAACATGCTTTGTCACACACTGAATTGTTAGACAGAAATTAAAACTTACAGATGCCCCATTATTTACACGTTTTTCAATAACAGTGAACTTTTTTCTTTGGTTTTTATTTATTCTTAGCAGAGCAAATACCAAGAAATTCACAAAGAAGCAACACAGCAACACTGTTTTCAAAAAGACTGACTGAGCCACAGATCACAAAACTGCTACTAAATTCACCAATGACTGACTGATGACGCTCGGAGTCTGTCCACCGTGAATTTCTTCGAAAAAAAGAAAATAGCCAGACCTCTGCTGGGAAGGAAAAGCTCTCAAATCTGTCTGGTTCACAAAAGGCATCGAGACAGAACTGACACTGCAGCAGCACTGAGTGACGGGAAAATAAGTACCGCCCCCTCACAGATGTTCAAAGACACAACACATCTATGTCACAGCTTTAGCTGCCTTAATTCTTCATGCCACAGACTCAACAACATCCTGGAAACATCCATGTTGGCATGATAGCATCACACAGTTGCTCCACATTTGTGGGCTGCACATCCATGGTGAGAATTTCCTTTTCCACCACTACTAAAGGTGCTCTGTTGGACTGAGATGGGACTGTGGAGTCCATCTGTGTGCACGTTCAATAAACCAGTTTGACACCATGTGTCATCCTGCTGGAAGCAACCATCGGAGGATGAGTAGGAATCAGCGTGGTCAGCAACAAGACTTGGGTAGGCTAATAAGGGTCACAAAGAATGGAAAAAATCCTCCACACCATTACACCCCCACCCCTTTGTGTTGAAGCTATGAAGCTAATCATTAATATTCAGAAACCTAGACAGTGCCTGACTAAGTTCAGGTCAAGAAATTCCTGGGAACCATCGATTTGCGCTATCGTGGCCACTCCATGATCACCTACCTGGGAATGTTTAGAAACACTATGCACTGGAACTTCAGCTCCTGGATCTTGGGAGTGAGATCTGTGCCATCACACTGTGAAACACATGGAAAGAGAAACATTGAGCCAACGTTTCACAGAATGTGCGCCACATATTTGCAGTATAACAACTTATTTTCACTCTCAGAACGTTTGTTTTGCTTTTAAATGTCATTTCAAGCGTCGCTCGCCGTTCTCAGCTTTTACTCTCAGTTTCACTGTCCTCACTCTCGGTCGAACCCACCCCCACGTTCTGATTAATCAGGTCAAGGGTCACGCCACACTCAGCTCCCTGCAGGATGCCGTTAATGATTTATTGCTGCAACTACGTAAGATGTGCCATTTTCTAAATGTACAAACCATTTCTGGGTCAGATTTTTCATATTAAATTATCCATTTTCCACCAGCAAAGTTTCTAAATCAAAGCATAATTAAAGGATAAGTCCAGTCAAATTCAATATGCTTCTATAAATAAATCCAAGGAAAAGACCAAAACCAACAGAAAGCCTCAGCGCTGCGCATCCGAAGCTTGAGCTCATTCCTCTGTGCCACACAGCTCCATTATTCTCACAGAAACTATATAAAACACATCAGCGTTAACACCTCTAACAAGTTCCTGCATTACAATGAATGAGGGCACTGTAAATCTGCTGATGCTGCTATAAATACTCACAGCAACAACAAATTAGCAGCTGAAAACAATCTCAAACAAACAGTTTTTCCTCCTGTGTTACTAATATTTGTTCAAAACTGCAGCGCCAAGATTTTTTTAAGGAAACGATTGAGATTGAGTCTTTTTTTTTTTCTTTCTTTGAATGACGGGATATATTTATTATCCAAAGATTTATATCAGCAGCAGGAAACAAGAAGCTTGAGGATGAGAGTCAGCATCAGAGTAGGGAAGTCGGAAAATGTTCCGAGACGATCAAAAAACTGTTTGTGTTTTGCTGCTCTGGCATGAAATTTCAACAGATGCTGCTCTCGGGGCATCCCTGACACTGAAGACACAGTAAACAATCCTGTAATTTAGTTATGTTCTACTCAGTCCAAGATAGTTACAGGGTTTGTTAACTGGG